GTCTTTCTCAATTTTCCCTTTTCTCGCAGCTTGTGACTGTAATCTCGCGGGATCCGTGTCCCTTCAGTGTGACCGCAACACTGGGAAATGTCAGTGTAAACAAGGTATGATTGGCGACAAGTGTGATCAGTGTGCCCAGGACACCAGCGGTAAAATGCCTCAGTGTGAAGTCTGCGGGGAATGTTATTACCAGTGGAAGGTCACGCTAGAGTCTCTGTCACGCAACATCAGCCTTGAAGTACCAAGAGCGTATAACGTCTCTCTCACTCCTCAGCCAGGTACGTTTTAAACGTGGTCACGCAGCGTCAATCTCAAAGGAGGTTTTGACTCACATGTAGGTACTATGAGATGAAAAAAAAGTGTTTCGTTTATTCAAAATTCAAAAGTTCTGTAAGTATTTCATATGCGTGGCATTTTTGGCGCATCCCTTCATAAGCTAGTCTCCATTGCAGCCGTTTGGTCTAGTCATGCAATGCGCTCTCTTCTCCTTTCCACAATGAGCAATGATAGAGAAGGAAGTATGTGTGACCCATCTACACCTGAACGACTTTTTTCCTAGGTAGTGGAAGTATTAACGCCTATGACAAGGAGCTTAAGGAACTGGAAGACAAACTAGAAAGAGTAGAGATGATACTTAAAAACCAAGTTACTACTGAAAATGATACGATGGCACTCGAAAAAGAATTAGACTCCATTGACATGCAACTGCAAGAGGTGCAAGACAAGGTAGACATGATGAAAAAGGACGTGAGATCATCTGAAATGCGAACAGAGGACGCCAAAACCGAGATTCAAATTCTACGCGAAAGGCTGGCTAATCTTACCCAAGGTGGAACGCAGCTGAAATCCAATGTTGAGAAGATTTTGCGCTCGGACATAAGGGGTGCTTTTGAGGAAATTTTGAAAAATCAAATGCGGTCGCGCCAGGCCGAGGCAAGAGTGAACGAGTCGCAGAAGATTCTTGATATGTCTAAAGAACAAAGAAATATAACAGAGCAGCTTTTAGAAGGTCCACCTTCGTTTCTCGATCGATACAATGAAAATTCAGGCGTTTTGTTCGACATCCTTGACAAGATAAGAGAACTGCAAAAACAAGTAGGGATCCTAAATGGGGTCGTCTGCGGGTCCCCCGCCAGTAAGTGCGGTGGATGTGGGGTGCGTAATTGTTCGTTTTGTGGTGGCCCCGGCTGTAATGGATCCTTAGATCTAGCTATGAAAGCAGTAGAAAGAGCCAGAGAGGCGGAGGCGGCTCAAAGAATGAGAGAAGGTCAGTGAAAAAGTCTTCAGTTTCCTTTGTTCATTCGTCATTTATGTATGTACTTTGATTAACAAAAGAACCCTCGTTTTTGTAAGTTGGCGATCGGTTTGGCATTTTCAATACGTAAATTGCCCTCGCAAATGTGAAACTTTGTTGAAACAGGCAGCCTCTTCCATACATCTTTTAATGTTAGTTTTGTAAATTAAGCGTTCAATCATAAAACATCCCCAATGTGACACTTCCTTTATCCTTATCACCCGTCTGCTTGATGGCGCATCTATACTGTCAGGAGAAATTACACTTCGGTCACTGTTGGCGTAAAAGCGTTTCAATCGAAGCGTGACAACATCCTTTCGTATATTTTTTTATTCTTAGCCAAAGCAAACGAAGCATTAGAAGAAGTACGGAACGCGGAAGTAATGGTAAACATGACAAAAGAAGCCGCTGACAAAGCAGTAATGCGGGCCATGGATGCTCTCGCGCGGGCTCGAAATGCAAGTGACCGCATGGATAAACTTATTCAGGTACTGCTTTTATAGGTACATCAAAGCTTTCGTTATTTTAGGACTGTTTCAGATTGTTTCTTCGAACCAAAACAGAGGAGTCACCAAGGCTCACTAGAATATAGGAAAAAATGTAAGGAACTACAGTAATGCGAACTTTTAATAAACATACGCAAACAGCCTGGAGAGCGGGAAAAATGCAAGTAACAAGTGGCGATCAGTTTGTTTCCGTCGTACCTGATTGGTTTAGAGGGTGGTGCGAATTCTCTTTACCAATCACAGGTTGAAAAGTAAACCAAGGAAATCCCGGATTATGTTCGACACACTCACTGAAAGTTGTTCAAGGCTGAAAATCTGTTTGATGTTCCAGGACATTTTAGATTTCCTCGACATGGAGTTTGGAGACACAGACATCATACGCAAAATAGCTAACGGTGTGAAACAAATGAAATTGTCAGTAACTCCCGAGGAAATTGAAAAACTCGCAGAGGACATAAAGTTGGCTTTGAGCTCATTAACTGGTATTGATGAAATCTTAGAGGAAACCACAGAAAGATTAGACAAAGCTAACGACCTGAAAGAGAGAGCGGAGAAAGCCAGGTAAGTGACTTTGAAAAACTAA